CTTCTCCTGCTCCTCCTCCTCCTTTTCTTCCTCCTTCTTCAAAAGGGGCGTCTGTAGGTCGTCGTTGGCACCGCCAGAATATCTCAACGCACAAGTCAAGCGTATTCTGCCTATTTCGATTGAGCTGACGAGGCGACTGTGCTGAGAAGGCCTTTTGCGGAAGCAAGGCTGTGTGAAATGTACTGAAGGGACGTACTCGAGCTTGAATGAAATTGTGTGAATTCATTTCACATGAAAATGATGTGCTGGTAGTCTCAAAAGCCTGCTCATAAAAAAGGAAACATGATGTCTCAGCTTGTCAGTCTGCTTGCAATCGGACGCGTCAGGCCGAGAAAGAGGCTTGTTCTCTTCTGTCTTCTCGCCTTCAACCACTTGGCTCGTGAAAAAAAACCTCTCTCAATGGACGGGCTTATGCCACTTTGGCTCGACTACACCCACTCAACTCGCCACTCCGTCTCTTCCTCCACAGTCTCCTGCTCCGGTGCCAAAATGGTCGCAACCTGTCCAACCCAGTCGCACATTTCGCGATATCTTTGTTCTGAGATCGTCCGACTGACCGGGCCCCATTTTAATGTCAGCAAACTGACGACTATTTTGGAGATTAATCGAACAATCTACCAAGTGATAATAATTAACAGCAGGCCATGAAGCGATTGAGTCTTTTTTTTACACTTAGTAAACTATGCTACTCAATCAGTAGTATTAATAAATATCTTACAGATATTTATTTACTTGGAAATTTATCTGCTTAAATATTCAATTAATTAATAAAATTTCTGGCAAATTGTATCATCGTATTACCTGCCATTGAAATGAGTAAAAATATTATTATTATATTGTAATTAAAAATATTATTATCCTCTTCGGGTATACCAAATGATGACTAGCCTCATTAAAGGCTTACTATCTTTTTATTTCCGTTCCAATCGCCCCGGCACACTCGACAAGTAAATAACATCTCATGGCATTTGACCAAAGTCTGCAAACCGCAATCCCAACTCCCAATAGCCCAGGGAGAGTTAAGGTGGATGTTCAACAGAAATGCAACTAAAATATATGCATAATCTCTTGAAATTCATTTTCCTTAAGATCAAATTATCTTTAATAATACCAAATGTATGCTTTAAAAGTTACTTATTGTATAGGCTGTTTAACTGAATACCAGCTTACTCGAGTGTGCAAAATATTTCGATTCAGTACATGTACCAAACCTATACACATTCGACTCTACATTTTTATTTGTTTACTTAGTGTTTGTTATTTGGCCCGCTTCTTTCAGCAAACAGCCATTCAATGGTACTGGAAAGAGGCCATTAGAGAGAATAAAAGGGACTTTTGGGGATGCACTTTACATTTGCTATTTACTTTTGGCAGTGCTGTCTCTTCACGAATGAGTGAGTAGTCTGGAAC